TCCTCTATCATTGGATTAATCATTAATGGTTTTAACGATATGGTTTTGATGTGATATGGTTATGACTTGTGATTAGAGTTTTTAAAATCATTTGGTTTCACTAGGATATAATTTATCTGAATTAGTTTACATAAATAATTTATTACATAATTCTGATACAAGTTTTTTTTTTTTTGCAAAGTATTTAAGTAATACAATATAAATGTTCTTTGACGGTTTTACCAAAGCTATTTCTTTAACATCACAATGCGAATTTTGTTCTTTCATTATCGTTTGATGTCAAATACTAATCCTTGTACCAAAACCAATTATTGGTATCGTCGAATAATGGTGTTATACAATTCAATCAGTAGTGCCTACGCAAATATTTGATCTATCAAAATCAACTTTCAACCTCAACTAATGGAATAAATAATTCAACTTTATATATATTTGGTATTTTGGTTATACAATTATTAATCTCAAGTCTCTTTACGGAGTGGTTTGCTCCTACTCTCCACAGTAATTAACGCCTTTGATTAATTTCTTACTTTCATAACTTTTCTAACATTTCTTTCAAACAGAAAAACAAATTCGTTTCAATTATGTTTCCAACCATTTATCTTTTAATTTTATTGAAAATTGAATTTAAAATTTTAAGAAGATTAGTGGCACTTAAGATTCAATGTCTGTATGCAACGAATTGAAATTAAGAAAACTAATAATCTAGCAATATGGTGAAAATATAAATGCAACATTAATAAATTAAGCCCATGGACTTCAAATAGGCCCAATATTAGTCTTAGGCCTTTCTTCAGTCAAACCCATGGCCATGGCATAGCTATTGTATTCATCTCTCCTCTTATTTTCGACGGTTCTTCTCGACAAAGTGGAGCTTTAGGACTATGATGAGTGCTTTCCCAACTACTTCCTTTCCTAAAGCTGCTGATCGTTGATTAGCATTGCTTGTTCTCGCACTATTTCTTGCAGTGGTTCGTAGCTTTCTCGATCTACAGCTCTCGTCATATGTTTTTTTTTATATCATTTATTAGCTTTCTAATGTGTAGTCTTGTCGCTTACCGTTGTTCTTGTGCTCTTTATTTTCTGCATGCTGTAACCGTTTCATCCGCTTTTAATTACGTGGGATTATGAATTTATTCACCATTATTTTTCGGTTAATTTTATCTTTGTATGCACATAAACTTAAAATTCATATGTAAGAAATTTAAATATTATGTAACAGAAATATTCATTTTTGTCAAAATTCACATATATTTTTTACCGTTTTGAAATTAGGGTGATGAAAAAAAAAGACTAGAACTAATCCAAAATAATATTAAATTACAATCATCGATCAAATATCAATTTTCATCATGGCAAAAAAAAAATATCTCATTCAAGAGTATATATATCTTCCGGACAACAAATGATTATTTATAGTAAATTTGGTTTGGTCGATCACTACAAAAAAACAGTCACTATTCCGACAGAAATTCCGACGGCCGCGAATTCCGTCGGAATTTTCCGACGGTTTACCGACGGAATTCCGACCAAAATTAATCCGTCGGAATTTTGCGACGGATTTCCGA